TTACAAAAAAAAACTTTAAACCAAATTTCTAAGTTAAAAAAGGGGCATAATTCTGTCAATATTGTAGGCAGAGTTATCCAACTTGTCAATCTGATGTACCTTGTTACTATAAATAAGTGTTGTAAGTTTCCAATTGAATATCTCAAGCAATAATTGAGATATTTGACTTTACAAAAAAACTTTTAACCAAAATTTCTAAGTTAAAAAGGGGCATAATTCTGTCAATATTGTAGGCAGAGTTATCCAACTTGTCAATCTGATGTACCTTGTTACTATAAATAAGTATTGTAAGTTTCAATTGAATATCTCAAGTAATAATTGAGATATTTGACTTTACAAAAAACTTTAACCAACGCAGACGCCGACGCGGACGCCGACGCCGACGCCGGGGCGACTACAATAGCTCTCATATTCTTCGAATAGTCGAGCTAAAAATGACAAAAGAATGTACAATAAATTTGTTTTAGCGATCGTATTTTTTGTTATAGATTTGTGTACTTACGACATTAATATCAAAGACCAGTCTTTCCGAAAGACCGTCGGACCGTCGGCCCTGACCGGTAAAAAATCAGAAGGTCCGATAAAAATATATGTATTGACGGCCCGACGGTCCGGTAAAAAATTAAGGTTTTATAAAAACCTTACATTCAATATGATAAACAAGATCAACAAGGAAAGGCGGCGTTCAATGAACGCATCCCCCACATGACCCAGCAACAAGAACCAATGGCAAGGAGCCCAGGGGGACCCCAAACAAAAACAGGATAGGGCAAGGACAGAGCACGGACAGGTTAATCAGTAAATGATAATTAATTTGTAACTGATTAGGAATTCAAAGAACTAAAAATAGGCCCACAAAGGGGAAGGGGACAGGAGACCGGGGGGAGGGGGTGGGGAGTATTCAAAGAAATAAAAACTAGAGGCAATGGGGAAGATACTTACCGTAGACGAGAAAACAACAAGGGACACAAGCAAAAGTGTCACCAAAACAGTATGAAACAACATAAGACATACACCTGAGGAACACAGTGGGGCGCCGCCTTGGAACGGTCAGCAGCATAATGACTACTGGGGAGTTTAAACCGGTTAATGGTGCACCAAACCTCGCTCTTAGCCCCACCATGTTCCTATTAACGAGACAGTGTAAATAAAATGAATCCCCGCCAAGTGAAATTCTAACAGTTGTCATGGTTACAAAAGGTTAAATAATTAACATTTTGCAAAGGCCGATAATTTACCTTAATTCAAAACATATCAAAATGTTGTCATTACACTATATAAGCTCGTGCAATGCTTGTCAACTGTTAGCATTCTCATAATGCAAACTTTTATGTAACAACGTAAGATAAAAACATCCGACAACTAGTACAATTAAAAGTCAATAAGCGGCCGCATAAATTACATAAGCGGCCCAGATGTGAAAGGTCACCCGCTATTTTGTTTGTTTGTTTGTTTGTCTCATTTTACGCCTTTTTCAACAGTATTTCAGTCATATAGGCGGGTAGTTTCCTAACCATCGTTCCTGGAGAGTTACACCAGTACTAAACAACCTTCCTCCGCGCTAAACTACCAAAGCATCTCCCGGGGATCGAACCCACGCCAGAGAGCTACCTGGATTAGAAGTCATCGACTCTGACCCCTCGACCACGGAGGCGGTCCACGCGCTATTTAGTAGTTTGTTTACACAGAAAAAAATGTCAGCCTCAGTACTAATTGGAACAATTTATGTCTTTAATCCACAGACTTAGAGTAATGCTAAATTGCATGTGTGCTCAACTGGTGTTTAGCAGCGAATTAGGGATATGAAAGATCGTCCAAGATGTTGACAAAAATTAAACTATACTGTGAAGGTGCCAAAATCATTTAACATTTCACTAAATTACCGATATATATATAATTCTGTTTACATATGCCAGACCCACCCTCTCATTTTGCTAGTATATAGTCTGTATAGAATTAAAGTTTAAATAGCAAAATCCATTGAATACATGTATAACAATATTTATGTTTACATGAAAAAAGAACTTCACTTCGTTGATAATATAATTTTCTTTTTCTACACAAATATTTTGACTGCTGACACTTATCAAGTGACTCAAAATGCTATATACTTATCAGGTTTTTTTCGGTCCAGTAAAAATTTTCAGTTTACAGGACCTACTGTCCAGTAAAACTCAGAAGTCTTTCGCATAGACTGAAAGACTATTTTTAAATTAATAAAAGCAAACTGACAATTTTTAAAAGAGCTAATTATTGCATTGCCTGTGTTCCCATATTTACTCGATTATGTCAAGTCAGTGATTTTTTTTCCTGTATTTTACAGCCGAATAAAGGCTGTTTCCCCTAGCTCAAAATAGGTATATTTTCCCCTAAAAAGCTAATATTTTCCCCTGAAATGCCCAGTGCACTTCTTCAACAGAACCATGACTTAACAGCATCTGACTTATTGTATCAGCTAGAAGACAGACAGTTGTCCAATATAGCCTCTGCTATGTACCATGCATGTTAAATTGAATTAAAAATTTCATAAAATGTTTGGGTTAATTCCATTCTCAGTTGTTGGAATTTGACTTTCCCATTTCTGATTTATCACGCTATATTTTCCCCTTCAGAAAGCCACAGGTTGTTTTGAAAATTGGAAAAAAAATCACTGCAAGTATTCTTGTTAACACAATCAAGTCCTAGTAGACTATGTGTACAACGATCAAGTGTGTAGATGCGACATTATATTTTGTGACAGCAAATTGAGGACATAATTATAATCGAGTTTTCTTTCAAGTTCCTTAAATATTGCAAACGGATTTAATTTGTCACTAACCTGATTATCTGTCTGTATTTATATCCATTTCAAGAAATATCTGCCAGAAAAGAGTCGACGCATGTTTGAAATATACAGAACAGAGACAGGGTAAGAAGTATTTGTTGGGATAAATGTTCGTCAGATCTTAAATTCGTGGATTGACCTACCCACGAAAACCACGAAAATTTGTGCCCCACGAATAATAATGATTTTACAGTATCTACAAAGTTTCATGTTGATATCTCTTATAATTTTAGAGTAATGTCCCGGACAAAGTTCAAAGTGTCAAAATGAACAAAGGGCAATAACTCCAAAATAGGCAAGACAGTGTTACAGTTCTTGTGCACTGCAAACTTACTCAATGAGATCTATCTACCTGCAAAGTTTCATGTTGATATCTCTTATACATTTAGAGTAATGTCCCGGACAAAAATCAAAAAGTAAAAATAAACAAAGGGGGATATTTCAAAAATTAGGCAAGGCAGAGTTAAGATTCTTGTTCACTGCACACCTACACAATAAGATCTATCTACCTACAAAGTTTCATGTTGATACCTATTATAGTTTAAGAGTTATGTCCTGGACAAAAGTTCAAAGTGTAAAATAAACAAAGGGAGATAATTCAAAAATTAGGCATGGCAGAGTTATGGTTCTTGTGCACTGCACACCAACTCAATGAGATCTCTCTACCTACAAAGTTTCATGTTGATACCTATTATAGTTTTAGAGTTATGTCCCAGACAAAGTTCAAAGTGTAAAATAAACAAAGGGGGGATAATTCAAAAATTAGACAAGGCATAGTTACGGTTCTTGTGCACTGCACACCTACTCAATGAGATCTATCTTCCTACAAAGTTTCATGTTGATACATACCTCTTATACTTTTAGAGTTATGTCCCGGACAACACCGCCAGAGCAAGTAGGACAGCTCTCCATATACTTCGTATCGTCGAGCTAAAACTGTTACCACTAGAATGTCAACAAGGTTGGGCTGTCAACAAGGTTTCTATGTATTTGGGCGGCGTAACCTACCTTTCTTGAACCCAGGTGACCCATATTCAAAATTCACCTAGAAATTATCAAAACAAACTTTCAGACCAATTTCCAGGATATTTAAATCAAAACAGGAGCTACTTGAGTGTTTAAAAGTTTTTCTATTTTTTGCAACTTTGACCTAGTCTTTTCATGTTGATACCTTATGCTCAGGTGAGCTAAAAAGGCAGAGTTATGGTTCTTTCGCACTGTATTTCTACCTAATGTAATCTATCTACCTACAAAGTTTCATGTTCATATCTCTTATAGTTTTAGAGTTATGTCCCGGACAAAGTGTGTAAAAATGAACAAAAGTTGGTCGTGGCAATAACTCCAAAATTAGGCAAGACGGAATTATGATTCTTTTACACTGCACTTTTACTTAAAAAGATCTATCTACCTACAAAGTTTCATATTGATATCTCTTAAAGTTTTAGAGTTATGTCCCGGACAAAGTGTGTAAAAATGAACTAAAGTTTGTGGCAATAACTCCAAACTGCTTACCCTTCAAGGCCACTAGAGTGTTAACAAGGTTTTTCCATATTTGGGCTGTGTGGTCTTGTTTTTGACCCCAGGTGACCAATACTCAAACTTGACCTAGAAATCATAAAATACAAACATTCAGACCAAAGACTGCAGGATATTTGGATCAAAACAGTAGCCACTAGAGTTTTAATAAGAAATTTCTATTTTTAGTTCCTGTGACTTAGTTTTTCATCCGAGATGAACCAATTGTGTGAACTCATCTGAGCAATTACCTAGACAAGCATCCTGACCAAGTTTGATGAAAACTGTCTCAAAAATGTGTCCATTAAGAGTGTTAACATGTTTTTCCCATATTTGAGCTGTGTGACCCCAGGTGACCCATATTCAAACTTGACCAAGAAATCACTAAAACAAACTTTCAGACCAATTTCCAGGATATTGGGATCAAAACATTAGCCACTAGGTTGTAAACAATATTTTTTTATTTTAAGCTCCTGTAACCTAGTTTTTCATCCTAGAATCCTAGATGATCCCTGTTTGAACTCATTCGAGCCTTTACCTAGACAAGCATCTTGACAAAGTTTGATGATGATTGAGGAAAAAATGTTACCTGTGACTAGAGTGTTAGTGAACAGATGTGGACGGATGATGGACATTCAACAATCTGAAAGCTAAAACTTACCTCTCAATGGAGAATCGGATACAATTTCATGGAACACATCTCATCCTCTTCAATAACCATATTAAGATAGATCTACAAATGTGAAAGAAATTAAACAACTTGTTAGTTTACTGTTTGTGAAACAATTATTATATTGTAATGTGCATAGCTTTCCTAAATTACAACTTCTTGAAAATGAACAAATTTGATAAAACATTATTTATTCTTGAATTTCATAATAAATGTGTAAAATAATTTATTTTTATTTTTAAACACTATAATATCTATATGGAGATTAATTATACCTTTATAAATTACATTATATTGCTGCTATTGAATTACACCATGTGTCCACCCAACACATTATGGATTTTACAATCTTATTCATTTTTTCCCTATTTAATTCGTTATTTTTACGAAAATAGCATTTTGGTCACATGTCACCGAATGTCATGCAAAGGTATCCGAACCTAAATTCTCGCTAGTCATATGATAATTAGGGCAGCAATGGCGGCGAATATTATGAAATGTGAACTGACACTGATAAACTTTGAGGCAATTGTTTCATCAATCTAACATTCTGTGTTCAAAAATATAGACTGAAGTGTCCCAATATATCTAACTAACTGTGTTAAAATAGATTATGTCAAGATCACGCAAATTTATTGAATTACAGCATGACATAAATATAGGAACTCTGGAACAGGACCGCATATTGAGGCGCATAAATCCGAATCCGTACCAGCTTTACATTTTAAGTTTGTCCGACCTTTGAATATCTTTTCATATTATGTGAGCGGGTGGTCTTTAATTATCTTATCTCAATCTAATATAATCTGCTAATTTAATCAAAGGGCTGCAAACTCTGTGGTATTTTCTGATCTTTGCAATCTAAATCATACTGACTATCTGTATGTATTTTCCTATATAAGTTTATTTTCATATACTATAATTAATCTTACGCAGCGACTGCGTCTATAACAGTTTGAGATTGATACATATGGAATTTTGCATGACAAGAGTTGCATCAAAAAATCACTTTCATTTTTTATGACAGCCATACTTTATCCTTGCATATCGTGGCTACTTCCTTAAAAAAGACACTTCAAAAAAAAGTTGCCTCGACTACGATTTGAACCTTGGGCCTCTCACACCCTAAACGAGCGCGCTACTTCAGCACCACGTTGAAGTAATATATATGTAGGTTGAATAATAACAAATACATTGTTATTCTAAATTGAGAATTTCCATTCCGTGTTTGTAATCCTTACTAATTTCGAGGTATTTTCTTCACTATAAACCTTAACACTGATGAAAATAATTTAGCAAAAATCTTCTCGCCAAAAACAGTACGACATGTATATATTCCACTACTCGACAGTCAGATTTATGTGTACTACGCTCTGGAGTATTCAAGTATTCTGTACATAGCCAAAAATAGCATTTTCGTTGATTAAGCTTTACGGAAATAGCTGAACATTTTTCATTGGGTAAAAAAGATATTCATCCGCGAAATTTGTGATTGTAACCTCATATTTCTATTGACTACTCTAAACTTTTAATGCACTGTAATTCGTTAAATGCATATATTAAAAATTATTCTTTATTTTAAATTGCTGGTTTTTAAGCAGTTCTGAGTGAGAACTACTTTGCGTTGTTAGGTCTGTTAGGAAAATATGTGTTGGACCTTGGATGTTAGCTATGTATTTACTGATCTTGCGATCAGAAAATACAAAAATCAGTCAAATTTACGGTATATTGAAAAAAGAAAAGGATGGACATCCACCATTTGCCGCAACGTTCAGCGTAAATTATCCCCCTTGATATGCTTGATTTTTGTTTTAATTTTTCTAGTAATGAATACCAGATGAGTGCCTAAAATATTTATCTATGGATCATGTTTTAATATTCCTTTTTTCAGTTAAGCAAAACCAGTTTGACCATCAGGGCTCAAGCTAGTGGGCGATTCGGGCAAAATAGTCGCCGAATTCCGTCTGACTTCGCCGACATCCTACATGAAAGCGAATATGAAGTCGCCCGATTTTATTGATCCATTATTGAAAATTACCAACAATAACTGTGAATAACATGTTGTGTGTGTTTGCTTTGTTTACCCTCGCCGCCGGAAAAAGGGACTGTCGTGCATCTCAATCAACGCGAAAATGTCATTAATCCGTTTGTTTACCAACATGTCATAAAAGTCTAATTAACAGATGCTCCAGGAACAATTAGACTCCCCCCACGGCGAGATTACTGATACGTGCGAGAAACCAATCTTTATTCACGTTTTAATCGAGGCGACATTATATAACCAATCATTAAATCGCTAACATACAACTACCTGTAACAATTATTTATGATGGACGGATCAAACGTCAATTAAATTTTCACTATCGAATGATTGTCAGAATTAAGAGGACCGCTCGACATATAACTGTTACGGTAATTTTAAATGAAAGTTATGATAACCTTTTTTGTTGACGAGTTAAATTTGATAAAATTAACAGCGTATTACACTGTATTTATTACAAATGAAGTGAAATAAAAGATTGTTTCTTTCGTTATCTACTTTTATTTTCTTTACAACATAAGTGAATATGAATATAATGTCCGGCGCAAGCTTTTTAATAGTAAATCAGAATGGAATAACTGTTAATCCACCCATGATAGGAATCAACTATGGCTTTTTTATCTTCATTTAATGCAATGGTTGCATTACATGATACTCATTCTTATTACTTAATTTGTTTCAAACTACTTTTAAACAGAGACATAGATAACAATAGTTATAATAATAGCTATCTATGTCTCTGTTTTAAATTAAAATTGAATATTCTGTTGTAACACAAATCCAATTCATTTAATAAGATATGTACAGTGAGTCAACATAATTGCGATAACATACAACAAACATCGATAAATGAATCTCCTCACTTCTCCCTAAAGTCTCCCCACTTCTCCCTAAATCAGCTGGAGGGAGAAGTGACTTCTCCCTAAATTTTGAACCTAGCTTGAGCCTTGAACATATTACTAAAATGTCTGTTTTCTCCATGTTAACAAATCAAAACACGAATACATCCGATATAATGCCGCCTATACATGTCAACATGTGAAAACAATAAACCGTGAACGTTATATCCGGACGATACCTGATAGTTGACAAAAATAACAGGAACAATATTCTCAAAAAATAGTAATCAATTGTAGCCAAAGGGGAAAAACTCATGCAGGAAACGTTGCGGCAATTGGCGGATGTCACTCCTTGTCTTTTTTTATAATACCGAAAATTTGACCAGTTTTAAAAGAGACAGATTGGGTTTAATTGATAATATATTTTTTGAGTCCATACACTCGAATAATACTAAAAGATATTTAGATGTAGCAGAAACGTTTTTAAAAAACCTTTACACGATCGAAAATATATGCCGCATGTGGCAATCTGCGGTCCCATTCTCGAGTTCCTATGATAAATCCTGCTTTCTCATATTCTCGGGGGGTTAAGGACTAAACTTGGTTGCATAATATTTAAAAAACATTATGTTACAGTATTTTTAGCCTGATACACAGTGAAATACCTTATTAACAAAATATAAAGAAAGAAAGATCGTAACTGTAAGCAAAACAAGAGATATTTCTGCTTGTATATACTGACCTTCACCCTCTATGTGAAGCAGGTGCTTTCTTGTATTCTCGTGGAATTTGATTGGTTGTTAAGGCTAGTCGCTAAGTGATGATTTTATTCTACATACCAGTTCAAATCATTAGTGCCACACCTAATTAAGTGTTAAATGGCTTAAATCTGTAATTTTATTGTGTTTTGATAACAGCTTGGCAGGCCATATCAAACTTTTAGGATCATATTGACACCTCTTTGATACCAAATGATTCTGATTGTTCCAAAAATAGTTTGAACTCAATTTAGTGTTGTTATTTACATAATCTCTCTAATATACATTAAGTTTACGTTTATTTATAAGTAACTTATTAGTTATATGAGCATTAAACAATAATTACTACTGTTTTCCATTGCAGTTGTCAAAAATGAAATGTGTTTAGGACAAACAATGTTTCATTATTGGTTTTTAATTGGAGTTCATATCTTTTTTATACTATCTATTCGTGGAACAAATATTTTGAGCTGTATTTTATGAAAAGTAGTGTGAGACCGTCATTTGATGCGTCTTAAGTCAGAGTCCCGCTGCAGGTTTCTGCAATATGGAAAAATCTAGAAAATTGATGATTTTTTGGGGGAAATTGAAAAATTTAATGTTTATTCTCTGGATTTTAAGATGATTTCCACAGTTATTTTGGTTTTTTATCTGTTTTCGTCGCATTACTTTTTTTTTTTTTAATGGAGATGAAAATGCTCTGCTAAATAGACATGTTTTCGTTTATCGATGGAAGTCGCGAGTGTCGTTTCCACCGTTTTAATTATTCCATGAGAATGCGAGAAACCCCGAGAATACGAGAAACAGGGAAATATATGTCACGGTTGAAGTTGACTTTTGATATGGGATTGGCTTCAGTGAACATGTCTAGCAGTACTATAAAACCTGATTAACTCAAATACAAACAAGAGCACCGCTAGGCGGAGCATTATATGCCCGAAAGTGTTTTTTTTCTTTTCTAAGGATGAAGCATTTGTAAGACATTACATAAATTATATATAGTATTACCTCCTTCAAATAGCAATCCTCCTATAAAGTTTGAATATTGTTGGCCAAATGGAACTTCAGTTATGCTCTGGAAACTGTTTTTAGTTTTGAGGTATGAGCTACCTTGAACTTTGACCATGTGACCCCAAAATCAATAGGGGTCTTCTACCCAATATGGACAATCATCCTATGAAGTTTCAACACTATGGGCCAAATATCAAGTAAGTTATGTTCTGGAAACTTTTTTCACTTTTAAAGTAATAGTGACCTTGACCTTTGACATTGTGACCCAAAAATCAATAGGGGTCTTTACCCAATATGGACAATCATCCTCTGAAGTTTGAATATTGTGGGACAAATAGACCTTAAGATATGCTCCGGAAACTGTTTTCAGTTTTAAAGTAATAGTGACCTTGACCTTTGACCTTGTGACCCCAAAATCAATAGGGGTCTCCTACCCAATATGGACAATCATCCTATGAAGTTTGAACACTGTCAGCCAAATGATACTTAAGTTATGTTCCGGAAACTGTTTTCAGTTTTTTAGGTCATAGTGACCTTGACCTTTGACCTTGTGACCCCAAAATCAATAGGGGTCTTCTACCCAATATGGACAATCATCCTATGAAGTTTGAACACTGTCGGCCAAATAGAACTTCAGTTATGCCCTGGAAACTGTTTTCAGTTTTAAGGTCATATTGACCTTGACCTTTGACCTTGTGACCCCAAAATCAATAGGGGTCTTCTATCCAAAATGGACAATCATCCTATGAAGTTTGAACACTGGCGGCCAAATGGACCTTAAATTATGCTCCGGAAACTGTTTTCAGTTTTAAGGTCATAGTGACCTTGACCTTTGACCTTGTGACACTAAAATCAAAAGGGGTATTCTACCCAATATGGACAATCATCCTATGAAGTTTGAACACTGTGGGCCAAATGGAACTTAAGTTATGCTCCAGAAACTGTTTTCAGTTTTAGGGTCATAGTGACCTTGACCTTTGACCTTGTGACCCCAAAATCAATAGGGGTCTTCTACTCAATAGGGACAATTATCCTATGAAGTTTGAATGTTGTGGGCCAAATGGAACTTAAGTTATGCTCCGGAAACCAAATTGCTAACGGACGGACGGACAGACGGACGGACGGGTAGACAGACGGACGGACGGACGGACGGACGCCCGGGGGTATAACATAATATGCCCGAAATTCTTTCGGGCATATAAAAAGATCAAATCATAAATGCGATGGACTCTGTACGTGGGAGACAACGATAGACTTACTCTGAATGTGACCGATTTGGTCAAAGGTCGAAACGTCTTGGGCCGAAATGACTCGACCCTGATTCCGAGAAATTTATATTATTCCATGATCCATCTATGACTTCGATTTCCTGCAGCATCATGCCGTGTAATGGGTTTTTTTATCGCTTTGTGATATCAGACCATCTTTTTTATTTTTAATTATGGTAAAATATATACTTACTTGTTTCAGCTTTTTTCGCGCCACCACGGTTTATTCTCCACGCAGTGATCTCCCCTTAATTCTTCGGCATAGAATTCTCCCAAGGGAGGTAATCACTGTGAGGTCTCCTATCGATAAATCCCGGTCACTCCCGGGAATTTCTAGAGACTATCTCCGAAGACTGACGGAAAGGGCCGAGTAGTTGCGATTGGAGTTTGGTATGACTGAAATTTGAAAATTACCAAATGCGGGTGCCAGTGTGCACAAGTGTGCGGGTGTCTTAATAATATGAAAAAGGCAAAGCCTCAAAGCGAGCTCGATGTACTTTTAACGTGAAATAGTATGAAATAATCGCTCATTTTTATTTCAAATGCACTGACGAGTGCGTGTGACGTTACACGTATTGTGTTAAATATGGCTCCGCCCCTGTCGTTAAATGAATAACGAGTTTTGAAAACGTTGGTAAAACTTTGTTTATTTTATTTCACTCTATAATTTTTCAAGCGAAATAAAGATTATTAAAAGTGAAATAAATGTAAAACTTAAAACGTTTGCGACATTAAAATAGCGTACTTGATTTGTTTGTTTTGCACGTGCTGTTTGGCGCTACATTGTGACGTCACGTAAACAATACTTTAAACGTCTGTACAGCTTTAACGACTGAATAAAAGATATTGGTGTTCGGATTCATTTTCTTAGTTAGACCATTTTCTTTCATTCTAGATAGTTTTCACAACAAAATTCGACAAAAAATTGTTTTAATTTATCAGATTTTTCAAACAAAATGGCGCCTTCAATTTTCATTTTACAGTTCGATATTTTATCGACTGCTTCCGTTATTCTGGTTTCCTGTCCAATTATGGTTCCCATTGACGTGCGCGGGTGACCAGTCTACACATCCGTTTTCAGTCAGAATTCCTCAGTTTTTATCGTTATCTTTAAATTCGAAAGGTTGCGATGTGTCCAATTCGGTACTTCGAACGAAAGTTTTCAAAACCATTACTTAGCAGGTACTCGCGTTACCGTAAAGCTCGCTATGCGAGCAGGCCCTTTGGGCCAGCTCGTCGAGCTCGCTATTAACCTTTATCATAACATTAACCTTTATCATTCAGTATAAGAGATCATAAATCAGTAAAGATGCTGCTAGTTTTATATGTTTTTATTTTCAGATCTGTTATATATTTTAGTAAATATGTTTTATGCCTTTGTTATTGTCGGTAAATAGCTTATTAGCTAATGTTTCTTGTAATATGTAAACCGACTTAAAATAGAGTTTCTTGTATCTTGTATCTTGTAAAGAAAATAAATACCGATTTAACATGTAAAGTAAGAATTTAATGTTAAAACTTTGTACCAACTTTTTCCTCTGGGCCTACTTAATTCTAGTGTAATGGCTGGCAATCATTTACTTCACATAATGGGCATGCATGTAAGAAAAATGATGCATTGAGGTGTGCCCGAGACGACCATGGTGTAGAAAGGGAACATGAATAATTATATTAAGAAAGTATTTTCAATTTATTTTAATTTCTGCATATCGTTTGTGTTAAGATTACTTTTTAATAATCGATTCCACCCTTTTTTTTTTGTAAATCTATCTTCATCATTTCTTTTCACAATCCATGGTTATTTTTTTATCCTACTTGATTTAATCGAGTTCATGAAAATTAGCAAGTCTATCATATTTAATCCTCCATATTGAGTACCGCTCTTGAGAATTGAGTACCGCTCAAGCCTGTGCTAGGGGGCGTGAGGGATGTTGCACTTATTCATTATCCCTCATGTA